GTGTGTGTGTGTGTTGGGGTCTATCAGGTGTCAGTGCCGGTGTTGCCCCAGGCCAGGCGGGCCGACCGCTGGTCTTGGGACCCGGATGAGGAGCGAAAGCGTCAGGAAAGGTGGCAGCAAGGGCAGGAGCGCATGCTGCAGGTACACAGAACACCTCATAGGGTGAAGCATGGCGCATGAGTCCGCAAGGTTAGGAGTTCAACTCCTTATGGAGCTCAGTGGGTAGAGCAAGGCACCATCACTGTGAGAACTAGATGCAGAGCTGATTTAAAATATATAACTTGTCCCAGAGAAAGAAAGAATTGATGTAAAGCTCAGACTGTGAGGGGAAAATATAATTAGTATACATGAGTTAACTGTCCCTTTATTTTTAATTTACCTACAAGTCAAGCTATGATATTTTAATATGTAACTTATTAGGTTGATTTAGCCTTATTTTAAATATTCAGCAGCTCATCAAAGACTGGAAAAGGTTTTACTAAATACAGTTATATAATAATAATTATTATGATAACTATAATGTACAATATACACATACTTACCATTAATTTGTGTTTTGCAGTTAAACAATTAAAAAAAGTTCTTCTGGCTGTAAACTGGGCTTCATCTCCTTGTTTTCTACACATTTTTACAGTTAAAACATCAGAACTGCTGTTTAAACGGCATTTACACTCATTAGATGTTATTGGAAAAGTTTTGCTTCACCAAACGGTCTTGAACCAAAGTTATTCTGGGTGTTTACATTGACCGACCCTGTAAAACCAGTAAGTTTCTGTGCACCAGTCACTGATCTGCTCAGCTTACAGTCAGAACAATTAACCACATGTCATCGCTACCTGCAAAGCTTGCCTCCATGTTTGTTTTGCACCTAGCAAACCCTCCTCTAAAAGCACATCCACTCTGATGATGCACCCTCTGACCACTAGATGGAGACTTTGTGCAATTAAAGAACGTCTAGTTTGGTTTTTGGTTCCATCTCATGCACAAACACAGACGAGGACTTTGTTCCGAGGCTGCTGCTGCTGTTGCTGCTGCCCAAATCACCCTCTCCCTCCTCAGCCAATACGAGCCGCATCTCAGGTCCACGTATCTTTAATCATTTAACATACTGTACTCTGACCTACAGTATCTTGATAAGTAACAGTGATGTGAAAAGATGTCTCCTCTTCCCTGTTGTTGCAGTTGATTGTTTGAGATGAGATGCTCTTAAATGGATGAATGTCTGGTGCATCAATGTGCTTGTTACCTGGTTTATGTTGTGTTGTGTCTCTGTGCTTCGACCTTGGTCCGTCATCCGTCTTGTTCACGTTGCTTCCACTTTAAATCCTCAGTCTTTCATTTGGTCTTACTGTAGGGTTCACACACAACTTTCAAAGGAGTCAAGAGCAGTTCTTGTGTCGAGCATTCTTAAGTGCTGGAGGGACGTCGTGTATATTCGGCGTACGTCAAGTAACAACCTAAATGAAATTGAAGGATTTACGGGAACTTTTCAAATGAAGGTTGTGTAGGAACCCTGCGCTCTGCATGCTCTGCTTTTGCCTTTTGTCTGCGTCGCCTGCGTCTGGTCTCCTTTGTTCGCTTTTTATCACTAACAAGCAAATCGGATCTGAGCAAGTGTTCAGCCTTAACAGAGGAACATCAAGCTAACTGTGCATCCATCTATGTCTCTGAGTCGAGGCTCACATTCAGAGAACGTGCAGAGAGCGTCTCTCACGGAAATCAGATACAGTCGACCGGCCGCTACCGGCCCCCTCCTGGATTCAATTAATCGGCAGTCACCAGGAGAGATTTCAGACTCAGAAAGCTTTTTTTTTTTTTTTAAAACCTCTCAAAGCTCGTTTGATGCCAGTTCTATCTGCACATCATCTCTGTGCCCCCCACCCCCTGCAGAGAGTTCAGGCTTCCTCCTTGTTGAGGCACTGTGCTGTATTTCATGTGTCTGTTGCCATGGTAACAGGAGAAGTACCGCCGTGAGCAGGAGAAGCTGAAGGAGGATTGGGAGAAGGCACAAAGGGAGGTGGCAGAGGAGGAGAGGAAGTACCATGAGGAGGTGTGTTTGTGTTTATGCTTGGGGGCACATGTATATCAAATGAAATGTGTAGTTTGTGTGTTTTAAAACTGAAATAAAAGTTTATTTTCTAACTGATGACAGTAAGTTCCATGTTGTTAAACTCACCTCCGATCACAACAGGAGCGCAGGATACTGGAGGAGACGGTGGCGCCTCTCACGCCCCGATCCTCAGCGCTGCCGTCCCCCAGCCGCGGGGAGCTCTCCTCCACCTCTGAGCCCCATGACACCATCGTCCGTTCACTGGCCGACTGGGAACGCAAGCAAGAACTTCTGGAGAGGCAGTCGGTGAGTAACTGTTTCATTCTCAGCCCGTTCATCAGGGAGGTTAAAAAAAATCCTGAGTGGAAACAAATCGACTGACTTTTACCTGTTCTTCTGATTCGTCGGTGCAGAGGGGGAGCACGGAGAGCGCGGAGGGGAAACGGCGAGAAAGCGACAGGACCAGTGACATCAGCACTGCTGACGACAGCATGAAAACCGGCAGAAGGTCGGCTAACTCTGCCTCAAAGCAGGAAATGGTGCATCAAAGTAGTTTGAGAAAGCCCACAGTGATTCAGGGTGAAACTCTGAAGTAGAGCTGGGTGATAAATCAATAACAGTCGTGATGGTAATATTATTTTCATCAAACACAATATAACATAAGTTCAATATAGTTTCAATGTTAATGCTCATTAACAGTTTGACACCCAGGTCAGAGTCTAGTTTCTTTAAAAGTTGGACAGAAGTCTCAACACTCGTCAAAATGTAGTTTTTTATTACGAGAAGTTCAGTGAATTCAGTAAATATAATTTATATTATACAACGTGTGTGATGGATGTTTTCGATGTCCGACAAATGACGTCCTCACGTCTTCCTCCTGTGATCCTCAGCTTGGTGAGTCACAGCAGCAGTCAGCCAGAAACGCTGGGTCACAGTCAGCAGAACGGACAGAAACCTCCCCCGGGGCTCAGACACTCAACTCCTGTGAAGAAACAACAGGATCCAACGACAGACGGCAACAAGCCCGGCCAGCCCGCAGGAGAGAGGAGGTGTGTGAGTGTGTGAGAGAGG